TTTTTTTTTTAAAGCACCAGAAGCTGAGGTATGTAGGGAAGCCATGGGGGGGCAGGCAGGAGATGGAGCTGGTAGGGGTTCCCCCACACTTCCTCCCTGCATCTCCAGCCCCCCTCCCCCACCCCTACTTACCAGCTCTGAGTCCAGCTGCAGCTCCCTGCTGCAGCCACCAGGGACTGTCCGAATCACTGAAGCTCTCCAAATCTTTTCCAAAGATTCGGAGAGCTTTGAATTGATTCAAACCTTTTAATTGGTTCCCTGATTCGATTTGGAAATTCAGCCACCAAATCTCCGCCAAACTGAATCAGCACCCGAAGCTTCATGCAACCCTAATATTTAAGCTCCATTCTTAAGAATTGCCTCCAGCTGTCCCTTACTAATGAACTCCCCTCTCCTACCCCAATGAAGTTCTCAGCTTGTTCTATATCCTCAGGCAAGAGAAAGTGGAAGGCTGAAATTCAAATGTGTCCAGTACCTATATGAATTTTTTTAAATATTTAATGAGAATGCACAAGGCCATTTGCCAGAGACTCCCCTACTCTAAAACTGACACACTGTAACCATGGGGGAAGGGAGGGGAAGAGAAGACTCATCCACAGTTTTTAATCTAATCCACTTGAAACAAATAATGCAGCTTGCATATGGTAACCATTAGGGGTGTGTGAAGCGGGCCATATTCGATTCAGAATCAGCGTGATTTGGGAGACAGTGATTTGATTCATTGATTCAGATCACTGTCCCGATCTGATTCGGCTGAATCTGAAGTTTCGATGCTGATTCAGAGAAGCAGTGATTCAGCCATAGACACAGCTTTAAATGTTTTTTCTACATACCTTGAGGTACCAGGCATGACTCGTGAACGCTGAGATGGTGGGGTAGACCGAGCATCCCACAGGAGCGTGGGCCCCCCCGCATGCTCAGCAGTGGACCTGGAAGTACTTCTGATCTACTTCCAGGTCTGCACCCTTCCTCTCCCCTGGCTCAGCAATCAGCTGTGGGGGGAATCCAAGAACCCCCTCCAACCCAAGTCACCAAGCTGGGAGGAGGGTCCCCCATGTGCTCCACAGCAGACCTAGAAGTGGACTGGAAGTGCTTCTGGTCCACTTCTGGGTCCACTGCCAAGCACACAGGGGACCCCCCGCCCCCATGCTCCCATGGGACGCTCCATCCACCCCACCATCTGTATTCACAAGCCGCCTGGTACCTTGAAGTATATAAAAAACATTTAAAACTGTGTCTATGTCCAAATCATTGAATCTCTCCGAATCTATTTGGAGGGTTCTGATTCGATTCGGCGAAATCAAAGGGTCTCTTGATTCAGTTCGGATTTAGAGATTCAGTTGCCAAATTGGACTGAATCTCCACCAAATCGAATCAGCGAATGAAGCTTCACACAGCCCTAGTAACCACTGATACTGCCCAATTCTGTAAAGCAACTGAAGCTTAGAGTCAGACAAAAGATGAAAAGAAGCAAAGAAAAGTGTTAGTTTTTGGAAAATCAGGCACAAGAGAATCCAATTATGGCAATGATGAAAACTCCCAAATAAAAGGGAAGCAGATTTCTGGTGCTTAGAAGGCCTATACAAAAAAAAACAAACAAACCCAAGTAGGCTCAGGAAGCGATTTTCTATTTACTGTAATTAACAGGAACTCTAATTAACAGGAACAATGGAATTCATATGCATGAAAGATTGCCAATTACTGTAATACAGAGGTTAGATTAAATGGTTGGAAGAAACAGTGTTATTTATATACCATATTTTACAGGTGAACTTCCAAGATAGAAAGACAATAAAAGTATTAACCCTAATACAGAGTAATGGATAGTAAAAGGAGAAGACAGCTCTGCAGAGTGTGAAAAGGGTATGAAGCTTTCAGAGGCTTGAGGATTAACAAACCTATTGAATAGACGTGAGTTCTAAAGACAGAACACGCTCACTAAAATGCATTCAGGAGTACAGTCCAATTTCTATTACATTCAGCCAAACCTCTTCTACTGAGAAAGCTACACTAATAAACAGCTTCCTGCCTATGTGAAGTATTGGCTTCTCTCCTACTAGAGCTTGGGCATATTAGCTACATAGTGTGGGTTCTTAAAGTCTGTCACAGCTAGGCCACTTGTGACAGACAGCATTTTTTCCAAGCTTTGCTAATTCTTTAGGGACCCTAATTCATCCATGAAAAACTTGAGCCATGTCATTCTCAATTCATTCATCATACTATCTTTTATATTACTTGGAATTATGCTTTGCCATGTAATAACCTACATTTCTGAAGAATGGAAATCTGGGTTCAAACTTGCAGAAAGCAAAAACAAAGTCTGGAATGCATGGCAATGACCAACAGTGTGCTTTGAGTGCTCAGAAACAGTTTCTCTAAATGTTAATCAAAACTAAATTCCACTTTTTTCACTTAAATGTACTTCTAAAGAGGGAAGCACAGAAGTTGGAAAGTGTGTACAAGGACCATTAGAAATAATGTAAGAACTGACAAATTCTGTAGTAAACGTTCTTCACATTGCCATGGGCCAACATTCCTACCTGAAATCAGATGAAAACAAGTTAACTATATGTTTGCAACATAGCATGGCACAAAGAAAGGTAAATGCAACTTTGGTTAACAAATGAGAGGAGAAGCCCTACTAAAACCTGGGATATTACCCTTAGGGTATGGGCAGGTATCCAGTTCCAGCACAAAGGACTTCCAGGAAATTCCTAGCACTAGGAAAACAGGAAATACGAACGCACAGGTGTTCCAGCCCCCTGGCTGGAGAGCTCACTTTTGAAGCATGTGTAGCACTCTGGCCAAGGGGCATTAGATGGCTACTCCTTAGGTCCCCTTCCTCCTCAAAGGGAGCCTGAGCCTGACAACTGACAACCTGGGGGACAAGCTCTCTCCACCCCTTCCAACCCCCTCACTCCCATAGTGATGTTACCAAAGTCCCAGCACTTACTAAGGCTCTTGCAGGGGCAGGGAAATTCTCTAACCCTAGACCTGTCTAAAGCATGGTTAGTGTCACAGTCAGCACTGTGATAAATTCTCTTATGCAGGATTTTTTTCACATGGTTACCCTTGGTCAGAACTAGATCTAAATGGTGCCAGCATCCTAATCTTGGACGTTTCCTTGATGTCTTCCTTGTAATTTTCCCAGCGACGCAGTGTGCTGCAAAGTTAGAATCAATGTCAAAAAGATCCATTGTAGGCAAAACTATCAGACATCCTCAGACAGACATCAGCCCAACTAGAGACATAGAAAAATGCCGACTATTCAGTGAAGAAATTGTGAAAGCAAGTTTACCTAACAACTCAGTCACTGAGGCTTGGGAAAGCTTAAAAACTTAACATGTATGATGCTGCTGTAACAGTGCTTGGCAAAAAATGCAAGAAAAATGCAAACTGGTTTCAAGAGCACCCTGAAACTCTTCTACCACTGGTTGAGAACAGAAGGACTGTGCTAACCAACTATGAGAAATCTCCCAACACCATACCCTTAGAAAATCTGAGAAAGGCTCTAAAAGAAATGCAAAAGGAGGCTAAGAGGTGTGCCCAAGATTTTTGGCTGAAACACTGTGATGATATTAAAGCAGCAGCTGACATAGGTGATAGCCACGGAATGTACAAAGGCATCAAATGAGCAACTGGTCCAGTCAAGAACACAGCTCCACTGAAAGCACTGGATTGAACACCATGGAATTCTATACTCCAGCGAGACGGAAATCAAACATGAAGAGCTCAAAGGATTACCGTAGTTTGAAGTTATGATGGATTTAGACAACGAACCTACATTAGAAGATTTGTAGAAAGTCATTAACTCAATCACGGGAACAAAGGCATCTGGCAACAACTGTTTGCCTGCTGAAATCTACAAATGGCATGACAAATTACTTTGAAAGCTTCATGAAGTTATACTGCTTTGCTGGAAAGAGGAAGTGGTACCACAAGATTTCAAAGATGCTTGGTTTGTACGATTATACAAAAACAAAGGGGATAGAAGCGACTGTGACGTATCTCCCTCTTGAACATAATCGGAAAAATTGTCACTCACATCACATGCCCTAGGCTACAATCTCTAGCTGAAAGACTCTATCTTAATGGTCAATAAAGTTTTTGCACAGGACATAGCATCATTGATATAATATTTGCAGTCAAGGAGCTGCAAGAGAAGTGTAGAGAAAAAAGACAACCATTATCAGTCTCACGAAGACCTTCGATACAGTCCACAGACAGGGCCTTTTTACTATCCTGAAGAAACTGGGTTGCCTCCCCCCCTTCCCCCAAGTTGCTGAACATCATTCGCTCTTTACATCAAGCTATGAAGGCAACTATGAAAACAACGTATCAAACACCTATGACATCAACAAAGGTGTGTGTTTTAGCACCCACACTTTTATTCCCACTTCTTCATGCATTCATGGACAGCAATGCTGGCATTTATCTTTGAACCAGACTAGATGGAGGCTTGTTCAACATTGCAAGGTTTAGAGTAAAAACCAAGGTAAAAATTGGTTCTGAGAGATTTTCTGTTTACAGAGCATGCAAGCCTTGTTTGCTCACAGTGCATCTTCCCTGCAAAATCTCTTGGACAGATTTTCTGAATCATCCAAAAGCTTCAAGATGGCAATTAGTCTCAAGAAGACTGCAATCATGTACCAAGGTGTGAAAGAAACAATATTTGGTATTAGTCTGGAGGATAAATTTCTTGGTGTCATCGTCAGTTTTTGCTACTTGGGTCCTATAAACAGCAGGAATCTTGACCTTCAGACTGAACAGAATTGGAAAAGCAGCTAAAAATGTTGGGCTATTACAGAAACGTGCATCGAAAACTATTAGCTAAGGTGACGATAAGAATCTAAGAGACTTGTTATCCCTGCTTAGTGGTTCAGAAATGTGGACCACATTTGCTAGGCACATCAAGAGACTGAACAGCTTTCACATGAGATGTCTGCACAAAATCCTGAAAATAAAAGTGGGAAGACTGAATACCAAAACACAGAGGTACTAGTGCGTGCAGGACTGACACACTTTGAAACCACTATCGAGAAGAGGAGGTTGCGATGGATCAGCCATGACAAGAGAATGGGAGAAGACCATATCCCCAAGAATATTTTGTATAGTGAGATTTAAGACAACCCCAGAAACCAGGGTTGCCCTCCATGGCGGTACCACAATGTGTACAAAAATTATATAAAGTCATCCAACCTAGACGCAGAAAGCTGGGAGGACCATGCAGGATCCCAACTGGTCTGGAGGGAACATACCGCACTGGATGCAGCTCAGCATGAAGTGGCTTTGATCCAGGGCACAGAAGCAAAGAAAGAAAGAAGAAAGCACCATGCTATAAATTTGGACTTCAACTCAGACAACATACGGATCTGTGAAACTTGTAACAAGTTGTGCTGCTCTCAAATTGGCCTTGTCAGCAACAGATGGGTTCATCAGGCATCTGACTAAACGTACATGTACACAATGATCTAGAGGATCAACAGTTTCTTATACATAAACTTATCTCCCCAACCCCACACTACTGCTCCGCTGAGTAGTGTGTGTGTGTGGGGGGGGGGGGGGGGGGG